GAAAGGCTGCACTTTTGAAGAATCTTAAATCACTGAATAAAACTTGGAAGTTGCTCATATAAAGTTTTGCTACACTCTGACATCAGACCTTCATCTCTTTGTGGTCTTCACTTAAGAAAATTTCCTGGGTGGCTGTTGCTTTTAACCTTTCCCTCTTCTTACTCTTTCTCTTTAACGATACGAGTGCCATACGTATATCCATTGCCTTCTTCTCCCTCTATGTACCAAGTACTTACAAGCTAGGAATATAGGCATGAAGATAATCTCTGGAATATGTCTAGGCACACCCTTCTATCCTTAATATGCAAGGATGATACTGTGACCCATGAAATGATTCATTGTTTGACTTGTTTTTCAAGGTGTGGTAATGAGTTTGTTCTGACATATCGTCTTCTCTGCCTTGAGCGTCTTGTGCCTGTTTGGTATGTCTGGCCATTGCCTTTTGCTTTGCCAATGACCTGAACTAGAGTCAAATCTCTACCCATGACCCAATAATGCTGAATTCCAACCATGGGGCTAAAATTAGCCTGGGGAGATAACACTTAAATGCTGTGAAGCAGCTGAGCTTATTAGGAGAAGGGGAATAGAAAGAAACTAAAAAGGGATGTTTATGTTTTAAGAAAAGAAGGGTTGAAAAAAATCCCAATGATTTGAAAAACACACCCTTTGTCTCTTTTTATATGACTCCTTTTTTCCTGAATACTGATATCTAGAACCTTCTGAAAGGTCTAGAAAGGTCCTTGTGTCATCTCTGGTCAGACCCTTTATGATGCAGACCTTGGTTAGAGCTGACAGCAAGATTGGCAAGGGAAAAAGTAAATAAAGGAACCTTATAAATGTCCATAACCTTTGGTCCAGCAATTCCACTTACAGAAATCTAGTCTCAGGAAATAAACAGAGATATGGAAAGAAGATTTGTGTACAATGATATTTATCCAAAAGCTAATTATAATAGTAAGGATTATATTACTATAATATAATAGTAAGGATTTGGAATGCAATCTAAAAGTTCAATAACAGCAGTATCAAATACTTACTAATCTTTTAATTTGCATAAGGCATGGTGCCAAGTGAATTATATGAACTATATCACCAAATCTCACAAGTGAAGTGCTATTATTATCCAATTTTATAAATGAAGAAACAGTCACAGAGAGGTTAAGCAGCTTGCCCAGAGCCATGCAACTCCAAGTAGTGGGTCCAGACTTGAAGTGAGTTTTGTCTGAATCCAAAGCTGGTGCCTGACACCATCACCATTCCTCAGTAGGGGAATGACTAAACAAATACAGTAGCAACATGATGAAATATTACGTTGTCATTACTAGGATGGTTTTGAACAATTTTTAATAAAATGAGGAAATGTTCATGATGCAATATTTAATGAAAAAGAAAAACAGTAAAGACTACTAGGGTACAGATATACACAAAGGATTGTTAACAAATATAAAAATAATTGTTTCCTGTTTGGGAACAATTATAAAACAGTGTTTTCTTTTCTATACTCATACTTTTCAAGCAGCCTACAAGTAGTATGCATTGTTTGTACAATAAAGGAAAATAGTTGGTTTTCAGAGAAAAATAACTCTTGGCTGGAATGTTCTATGAATCAGTGCTAAATGCGTTAGCCCAACCGTAACCCATGGTGGTGGGGTTCAGAGCCCTAATGGCCAGCCCCCGGAGGAGCAGTGGCTAAGTCTCAACATGGGAGAGGCTGCTTTCAGGGCTGGCTGAGCCTTCCCAGCCTGAGCCACCCTGCGGCAGAAGTGGGGTGATGAACAAATGCGGCCAGTGACCAGCAACACCGTCAGAACTGGATGAAAATTTTCACTCTGCAACTTCTGCCTATGTGACTGTGGGCAAGTCATTTACCCTTTTTACACCTTTGTTTCCTCATCCATAAAATAAGGACAATAGCACTATGCACCTGATTAAGTTGTTGTTGAGGATGAAATGAGAGGAGGTAGGTAAAGTGTAGTACAACACTTAAAAGGAATAACAAAGCACCCTTTGCCCCTTGGGGGACGGGGTAGAGGGAAGGGCTGAGATTGATTTGACATCATCCATAAGAAACAGATGGAATACATTATTGCTAAAACCAAATCCCTTTCAGCAGATTTTATTAAATTACGCTGGTATTTGGTGAGCCAAAATAAATATAGTTATGTTTCTAGTTTTGGCCAAGTATAAGAAACTACACATTTTGGTTTTTTACAACCACTGTACATTTCCTATGAATACACTGTCTTCTATAAGATTAACTCTAGTATCCAATGTCAGTGAACATAAGTTACATAAAATTTTTTTTTATCAAAGTAGAGATAGTCCTAGCTGGTTTGGCTCACAGGATAGAGCATCGGCCTGCGGACTGAAGGGTCCTGGGTTCGATTCCGGTCAAGGGCATGTACCTTGGTTGCGGGCACATCCCCAGTAGGGGGTGTGCAGGAGGCCGTGATTGATGTTTCTCTCTCATCAATGTTTCTAACTCTCTATCCCTCTCCCTTCCTCTCTGTAAAAATCAATAAAATATATATTTAAAAAAAGTAGAGATGATTTGGGTTTTCTGAGTATACTCAAGTATGTACTGTGAGAGTTATAGGCATAATTTAATATTCCATTGCAGGGACAGAATTGTCTCATTATGGATATGACATGGCAGACATTAAATAAATAATAAAAATACCACAAGGCTTTTCTGGCACATTAGGCAATATACTGATGATTACAGCTGATATAAATAGTTTTCCGGTCATAAAAGCTTTGTGTGTACATCACTCTGTGTTTGTAAATGTGTTTGTATGTTAAAATACTTGAAAATACTATAAATTACTAATAGTAAGTAGGTTATGGGGATGGGATTAGAGATGGTTCTTTTTCTCTCCTTTTTATTTTCCCTGTTCAAATTATTTTCTCTTATTATAGTTACTGCTTTTATAATTAAAAATGATTAAGTATTATTTAAGACATGACCTAACCACTTGGTGGCGGTATGCCATGAAGAATATAGTCCATATGGCTTCATTGCAGTCCTACACTAAAAAAATTTGCCTTTGCCTTGATTTCTTCTACAACATTCTTGTTTATAACTTGTTTTACTTCAGCTATTCAATTCTTTGTGAAATTGCTCTCTGATAATTAAGTCTCTTTTTAAAATGACTTTAATTTAATCTAATTTAAATGAATGAACCTGGTAGATTTGAAACTATGATGACAAAGGACCCAAGAGGAAGACTGTGTTTATTCTCTATTAGGGCTAATAAAGACCTAGTCAGATATGAAAATTATTGTTATATGATGCAAATCATAGGCTTAGAGCCATTTTCAGGATTGTCTTCTGTCAGCTGGGTGGATAGTGTCCTTGAAGTCACCTCTGACAGCTTTTAATGATCAGTTTCATTGTCAAATAACCACCTATACTTATACAAAAGAATTACATTAACCTGTGTTAAAAGACAACAGCAATATATATATTCTTAAATATCAATGCTAATTTTAAAATAATGAAAATGAAAAGAAATCCAGCAACATATGCTATAAACCCATGGTTTTGGCATACTAAAAATTGTATCACATAATAAAGTTATATTTCTCTTTAAAATTTCAAATTGATGTAGATGCAGACTCCTGCATGGGCTCCCCGAGAATGAACAGAAGCTTATAAAATACTAATTTAGATGAATAAACCTGACTGTTGGGCAAGGGGCAGAACCTGCTCCCTCACAATTTGATGGAACCACATACCTGGAAACAAAAGACTTAATGAAGCATTGTGAAGCCGAAGGGCATTTCTGATTTGTCACAATTCACAGTGAAACATTCCCCTCTTGCTGTGGAGAAGCCAGAATAAAAACACGGGAAAGATCTTCTGGCTTTTCTAATGTTTTCATCTTCTAAAGTGCCCTACCCATTGTTCTTAGAAAACTGCTCTTCAATGGAGCTTGTGCTGGCACCCAGATCAGCCCTTTTCGAACATTTCCAAAGACCCATAGGAACCTTTGTATTGGAACTCTATGATATTTTTCCTCAAAGAGAGTTGTCTGGGCCACGTAGCTTGTTTCATTCAAGTGTGTGATGTCTCGGTGGCAGCTAAGGACACCACAAGTTGTGATTCCCCCTGGCTCCTAAGTACTTTTTTTAAAAAGAAGAATTTGAACTCTGAAATCAGAATGAATAATGGGGCTTGAGGCATGCCTGGGGATCCAGGGCTTAGAACCGTTTTTACCATTCTCTTGTGTCAGCTAGGAGAACCATGTCCTTAAAGTCACCCCTGGCAGCTTTTAATTATCAGGAGGGAAGAGATGGGTAAGGAAGCTCCAGTACTCTTGAATTTAGACTTGAAAGCGAGTTCGAAGCCAAGGTTGCTCACCCCACCCTGGTCCGAAACTTTCATTAGGAGTGTCTTGACAACCTTTATGACCAGCTGGGGCTGGCCAAGATCCTTGCCAGTGGAAAGGAGCAGGGGGAGGTCATTAGTGGCATTCCTCTCCTGTGTTACAACCTCAGAGTGTCTGCTAATCAAACCTGGGCTTCCTCTACGGTGGCTAGAGGCTGTTCACTAACAGCATCTCACAGATTGTGCAAAGGCAAAAGTGACACATGTTGGAGGCTCGCAAGGAAGCCTGAATTTTATTGCATCGTCTATTGGAAGGAATAAAGTAGAGACCAGTTATTGTACATTTTTTTTTTTGGCTCAATGAAAGAAATAACGCTCCTTGGTATTTGTTGCCTAGAAGCCTCATCAAATTAGCAGACACACCTTGAGGTTTTATAAACTCTAAGTAGTTCCTATTGTTTTTTTTTCCTCCTTTGGGATTTACCCAATTAAATAACAACAAGAAAAAAAAAAAAACACAGTTGAAGGCCTTTGAGTTTATTCCATCGTTTAAGCCTATTAAAGCTACTGACTTACTTTCATCATCTCCAAACGAGTAAAGAAACTCTTAGGAAATTGGGTAACCTGAGTGTAAGATATAAAAGCTGATGCTATTTTCTTTTTCTTTAAGTTCCCCTGGTCACACAGAAATCCTTCCAACATGACACTCGGAATTCTGGGCTTCGAGTTGCTTCCATCATTAAAGGACACCTCACTTCTGGTAAGAAGATGCAATGTGGGTTTTTATAATGGTTTTTAACGAATCATTTATTTGAATTCTCCCTACTGAAAAATTGTGTCAGGCATACCTTTCTTGATAAGAAGATTGCCTATATGCTTTCTATAGGAAAATAATCAACAAAGATCTCCTTAAAATTGAATTTAAGGAGTGGTGGATGTAGGTGGGTTTTACCAGATTTTGCTCCGTGTTGAATATGTTTTCATTTTAATTGGTGCTAGGGCTCAAGACCCCAAAATGTTTTTCTAAAACATTTCCATTATTTCAGTGTCTACCATGTAGTAGAAGTTTTATATACATCATCTTTTTTAATCTTCAAAACACCTGGTGAGATAAGTGTTACATATGTATTTTTTTGTTTGGGAACACTAAAGTTCAGGGAGGTTGAGGAACTTGTGCCATTTCACATTAGGTGACAGACTAAAATTCAAATCCTATTTTTCAAATTCTGAAGTCTTTCATACAATCAAGATCTGATTTTATTTGTTAGTATGACTCAAGATTTTCCATTGATGAGCAGAGCTAAATATTTTAGGCATAAAAAGATCTTAGATCAGGTTGTAGGTTGTGCAATGGGCAAATACAACTCTAAATAGAAATTTCAAATTGAAAAACTGTAGGCATGACTATTTCACTACTGACCATGGATAGACCATTTTTCTCCTTGCATAGAAATCTAACAGGAATAGCATAAGAATTTTTGCAGATTATATTAACAATTTTTTGGACTTTTGTTTATTTATTTAACAAATACTTACTAAGCAACTACTATGTGCCAGGCACTGTTCTGGGTGCTGGGGAATCATCAGTGAAAAAAGTGAACAAAACCCCTGTCTTTTGTTGTTGTTGTTGACCCTCACCTGAGGCTTTTCCCCCACTGATTTCCAGAGAAAGTGGAATAGAGTGGTGGTGGTGGGGGGGGGGCAGAGAGAGGGAGAAGGGGGTAAAGAGAGAGAGAGAGAAAGAGAGAGAAAGAGATGGCTGTGAGAGAGATACATCGACTGGTTGCCTCCCTCAGGCACCCAACTGGGGCTGGGGATTGAACCTACAACCCTGCCTTTGACTGGGAATTGAACTTGTGACCCTTGGGTCCACAGGCCGACATTCTAACAACTGAGCAACACTGGCCAGGCTGAAAGCCCCTTGTCTTCATGGAGTTTCTATTCTAGATAGATGGGGCCGGGGGGAGAGGAGGGAAGGGTGATGAGGAAAACAACAAACAAAACAAGAAGAATAAAGTCAGGTGGCGGTACATGATATAAAGAAACACGAAGCAAGGTATGAGCACTCTGAATGTGTACATGTGAATCCATTACAAGGCAAGTGCTTAGGTTCAGTATAGATCCCTAATTACAGATGCCTACACAGACCTGCACCTTGATATCTCTGTGGGAATTGTGGAGGCTAGGAGCTCATGGCAGCTCGACTAGACAGGTATTATTACCTCTACTCTACAGTGAGCTTCAGCAAGTTTATAATGATGCCCTGAGTTAGAGAGCTGATCAGTGGCAGAGTCCATTTCAAACCCAGGCATCTCCGGTCACTCTGCTTTATCCTGGTCCCCTTTGCCCGTCTGATGTTAGTGTGGGGATTCTCTATCCTCCTCCAGGCACTAATGCCCAAGGGTATGTGGCAGTCAGTATCTTCCATTAGTTGCATGAAATCTTCAGCAATTGTGTTTTAGTCCCAGGAAAACACTAGTTTCATATTCCACTGGAACTCTGGAGTAATCTAAGCCCCTGACATCCAACTGGCTTTAGGAGAGGAGCTGCAAGTGTATGGTAGGTGCGGCAGGGAAATAACTAGAGAAGGGCCAACACAGTGTCTGCCGCGTGATAAGTATCTGATACACATTTGCCAAAGGGAGAGAGGAAGAGGGATGAATGGAGGTTAACCCCTTCCCCAACAATTTTTTTGTTAAAAACGTTTCTTTTTCAGACTAATTTTTTTATTTTGGTTCTATATAGTATTTTTGATGCTGGTTATGAAAACAGTTTGTAACTCATCTTCCTATAAACCATATTTTTTTACCATATTTTCTTAGTATACTCGTCGACGACTGAAAAAGAACATTTTGTGAAAACGTGTATACACGTTTCTGCCGGGGAAGGGGTTAATACACAGCACGGCTCAGAACAAACTCCAGTGTGATAAGTCATTTCTCAATTACAGTCTATATTTAAAAATAGAAAATAGGGAGAAGGTGTGATGATCTTGGGAGGTAATACATGTTGGATATATTATACTAATTATTTAAAGATTTCAGGGATTAATTCAACTTCAAAATGTGAGGAGAGCTAGCATTGTTTTTAAAATAAAATGTGAGTGCAAGATGTATAACAATTTAAATTTTTTTCTTATTACATATATTGTTCTACTAGTTCTATTGTTCCCTCTTTCTCAGCAGGGAAAAAAAATTCATGAACAATCAATTTTGAAGAATTGACAAGTTGTATACAACTTCTGTCTCACACAAAAGGTTAAAAACCGCACACAACAAAACCTCAGTTATAATTATGGCCAGCTTTAGACTCTGTTACAAGCAATTGAGAATTCTCACTGGTGTCAGAACCCCATTTGGCCCATCTCTAAACCTTTTTATATAAAATATGCACGCACAAGCTCAGAAGAATGTCTAATGCTGACCACATTTGCTAGAGTTGCACTTCCAGAAACCCGCTGACATCAGATATGTGCAACCCAGTGTTTTCAAACAAAAAGTATCATCACGCAGTTTGCCAGGGCAGTCACCTTAGAGTGAGAGGTAAAGATTAATTTTGTTTCTCCCTCCCCCTTTTCCTTTGAGATCAATGACCTTCGTTTTGAGGAGAGTAGGGAGAGCACAATGATTCTGATATCGCATGGACACTGATGCTTAGCTGAAATTATTTTTCTTTCCTCTCAGACAACAGGCAACAAGACATTGGACTTTTATCAGGAATGGTCTCCTTTGCCGTTGTGTTTTCAATTCTTTCTTTGATTGGGATATTTAACAAATCACTCCGAACTGGGTAGGTTTTCACAGAATTTCTATTTTTCTGATTTAGACCATATTTTTGTATCACCAAAATGTAGTTTGTTGAGTTATTTACAAGAAAAATCCATCAGCAATTTTATTCAGAGGAAGGAAAAACAAAAGGAACAGTTATGCCAAACTCTTTACAAATGTCACTCATTTAATCCTCAGTGACCCTGCCAGGAAAGCTCTATGGTCTAATTTACAGATGACTTACACAAGGTTTACAGAGTTAGGTGGTCAGCCCAAGGTCACTAGGCACTAGCCAGGAGTCCAGATCTGGCTGATCTCAAAGCCCATGTACTCTCTTTCACTACACAGCCTTCTCACTGTGCCCTAAAGTTTACCTACAGTGCCTGGATTCTTTTCTTTTTATAAAAAAATATATTTTTATTGGTTTCAGAGAGGAAGGGAGAGGGAGAGAGAGAGAGAAACATCAATGATGGGAGAAAATCATTAATTGGCTGCCTCCTGCACGCTCCCTTCTGGGGATCGAGCCCACAACCTGGGCATGTGTCCTGACCAGGAATCGATCTGTAACCTTCTGGTTCATAGGTTGATGCTTCAACCACTGAGCCACAACACCTGGATTCTTTAGAGTGGTTAAGTCATATCATAACCTGCCTCGAATTCTACCAAAACATGCTCCCTGAATCAGTGTGAAGAGAAGTGTAGCACCATTTGAATTCATCACTGGATACCAATTGTGTTAGTGGTTTAGCATGTGGGTCCAATGCCCATTCTTGGCCTTTTTCAATCATTTCCCTGAAATATGGTATTAGTAAAGATCTACACTTCATTATTTAAAAATGAGACTTTGAGGAAAGCAAGGCCTTAAATTTCCTAAATTTTACTAGATGCACTGAATACATATTTATAATATGTTGTTTCATGTGGCAGTCTCCCAGTACATCAATGACACACACATATGACTGCGCTAATTGGCATTGAGTCTCTCTTTTTGCCATCCCTTGTATCATGAGATAAACTTTTTTTTTAAACTTATAATCAAAACACAGTAGAAAGATTTAGAATGAGCTATTCTACATAAAGTATACTAGTGATTTTTAAAATGTATGTAGGCTTCTTCCTCAGAAATTAAGTATTTAAATTACACATTAATAAACATACCCCTTGTACCTTGGGCAAATGAATATGGAACTTCATTTTCAGTTGTTTTAAAATATACTCAATTACAAAGCCCTTTGAAATATTTTAATATTCAAACTTATACCACATACAAATACTCATATTTGTGTTATCCAAGAAGTCTATGTTAGTGAGAAATTTTAAATAACAGTAAATTTGTTACTAAGAATAACCTAAGAATTAGCTTCCTGTTGATAATGACAAATAAAAATATAGGACAATTCTTTGCTAATTTAATTATTTAAATATGTATTATTTTTAAAAAGATAAAAGAACAAGAGATAATTCCAATATAAGTATTGTACATATTAGCAGATACTGTTATTTACTGTAATGATACATTATTTATATAAGCCTTATTTCAGAAATAGAGATCTCTCTCTATATATAGATATTCTTACCGTATCAGCAGCTGTATAAAACTTTTCTACAATAGCATGAACTTACTAATTTGGTCTAATTTTAGGTAGAGAAAGAGAGTGTAAATTAGTAAGAAAGCTGAATCATAAAACATTGCATAAATGTGTAAGGAAATTATTTTTACCTTACAGTTCAAGGTCAAATTGGCCTAGCAAAGTATTTTCAGATATTTTGGTTGTTACTTAGTAAAAGTCCAAAGAGAAGCTGCTTAAACAGATTAACAAGTCTGATCTGTTGTTAATGGATGTGCTGTTACCATGGGGAAATGTACCATAGATCAGTTTAGTCTCTTCTAAGTTCCTGGTACAATCTTTTTCTCAAATCAATTTTTACTATAAATGCAGAAAATGCTTCCAACACAGTGGCAGTACCAAGGGACAGCTTTGGGGAAGAAGTGGATTGTACACAGCTTCTCCCTCTTCTTTCCATCATCCTACCCCAGTGATCCTAAATAAGTACACAGGCTAAATAAAAAATGGCATTCTCACTGTGCCACAATACTGTAAGACAGTTTCCCAGTCCTCCGATTCCATCCACATAAAGAAAGTCTGAACCACCACCATCATCTCAATGATTCCACTACCTGGAATCATTACAAATTCAGAATTAGAGAAGCTTGAATTAAATGGTTTTATTATATAACATTTTCTTCTTTAATATTTTTCTGTGGTTGTGGTCACCTTGGAAAGCTCTACAAAATATCCCTTAAGTTTTCCAAACCTTTCCATACTGAGATCTCCTGCTCATCATGCTTTGCCATATCTAACATATGTACAGTTTTCAATTCTAGGGTGTTTCTCCCACTTATCTTGAATCTAGCGTGAGTGTTTTGAAATGTTCCGGCTCATTAGAGAGAAGCAGAGTAATAGAGAGAAGAGAAAAATCCCTACAGACATTGAATCAACTTCCCACTTAACTATTTAAAGAGATTAAAATCTTAGCTTCTGCTTCAGAAAGCTTGATTTTATTATGCATTCTATTCAAGTTGATTTTCTAATCTCTCATAGGATTGCCTACACCAATCCTAAAGTAAAATGCTTCTAATATGCATTTTTGCTTTTTAGCATTAAAAGAAGAATGTTATTGCTAATACCAAAATGGCTTCATGAAGACATTCCTAGTATGAAGAACAGTAATGCTGTGAAAATGCTACAGGTAACTAAACACCATCAAATAAAAACTAAACGGCAGCTGTGTCCAAGAGTGCAGCTCAATAGAGTAGAATTTCCATTTCAATAAACAAATGTGTGTACATATAAGCATAACTGTATAAACATATGTAGAAACAAACTAATACATATTTTAAATCATACTTAAGAGAGGAGAGAATGGAATTAGTAAATGAAAAGAGAAATAGAAAAAAAATGCTATTCAACATGATGAAAGAAGGAGAAGAGAATAGCCAAAGAACATATATGCATGGACACAGACAACGTGCTTAAGGCCAGAGGAAGGAGAGGGTGGGTGTGGGTGGAGGAGGGGAGTAAGGAATTGAGGACTTCTGTAATAATGTCAACAATATAAAGAAAGATAAAAGGAAGAAAGAGAGATAGAGATAGAGATAGAGATAGAGATAGAGATAGAGATAGAGATAGAGATAGAGACAGAGGGAAAGAAAAATGAAGTGAAAGATTGTGAACTAGGTGGCAGAGTCACTTGGTGGCCAGGAAATTGGGCGGTGTCTTCAGGGACCAACGGAAGAGGGCAGAAAGGTTCAATTGAATGAGCCTCACAGACCCAAAGGAGTTTTCATTTTACATGAGATTGGAGAAGCAGGTGGAGCCTAAGGAGGACACTACTTCACTCCTGAGACCCAATGGAATTTGAGAAAATAAATGTGTGAGGACTATGAGAGCAGGTGTCACTAGGGGTGGGGTCAGGTCTTCACTTCAGCAAAGAAGAGAAGGGTGAGCCAGAAGACCTTGAGGACATAGGGGCCTTTGCTGGTTATGGAGGAACTGTTGATGATTATGAGTGAAGGGAAAGAATCTGCTGTGTGTGCTCCTACTTTCCAGCACTCTGGCCTGGCCATCAAGAGACTCAAAACCGAGTCAATGGGACAGACACATTATCCAAGCATTGCAATGCAGTGATGTAAGTGCAGTGACAGAAATAAGATGAGACATGACAAGAGTATATTGAAAGATGAATGGGAGTTGCTCAGAAGATACAGAGAATGTTTAAAATCGAGAGGACAACATGAGCAAAAGCACAGAAGGGAGAGGAGTGTGCTGGGTATTGCTTTATCAAAAGGATTTACATGAGGAGTAGCTGGAAAAATACTGGAATGGTGAGTGAGATCAGATCACAAAAGGTCTTACAGCTATGGAACTTCATTCCGTTGACCAATAGTTTTAAAACTTTAATAAAATCTGTATTTTTAGCTTAGGAACCCCGTATTCAAATGATGTGAGGAAGACTAGTATTTGTAAGACAAAATGGCTCTATTTGGAGCTTCGGCAAGCAAGCCCATTAATCAACTCCTTCCCCATTTCTCTAAGGCAGCGGTTCTGAACCTGTGGGTCGCAACCCCTTTGGCGGTCGAATGACCCTTTCACAGGGGTCGCCTAAGACCATCCTGCATATCAGATATTTACATTACAATTCATAACAGTGGCAACATTACAGTTATGAAGTAGCAACGAAAATAATTTTATGGTTGGGTCACAACATGAGGAACTGTATTTAAAGGGCCAGAAGGTTGAGAACCACTGCTCTAAGGCAACAGTTTTCAGCCTTGGTTGCTTATTAGAATCCTGGCCCATTCCAGGATCTCTGGGGGCGGAGAATGGGTCTGGGGAGACTCAGGCAACAGTATTTTCCAAAGCTTCCCAAATGATTCCACTTCATGGCCAATGTTGAGAACACTATTGAGGGGTTGAAAACTACTGCTAAAGACAATGAGGAGCCAGTGGGAGTTTTCAATTGAAATAGACATGGTCCTAGAAAAGAGGCAGGTTTAGGGGGGTCAGAGAAATGAGCACAGTGAGGTGTGGACAAAGTGTCAATAAGCAAGAATCCAGAGTGCTGACTCATTTGTAGGGGGTCTATAAACCATAAGGAATAAAATGAGTCCATGGAGTGACAAGGAGCAGGTCATTGGTGATCCTGGGCCAGAGGTTCAGTTGAGAAGTGAATGGAGGAGGAGGAAGTGGGGAGTAAGGGTGGAAACGTCTTCTGATGAGTGCTGTCTAGAAGGGAAGGGAAGAAAGGGGCTATGCTGACATGTGGTCAGCTTTCAAATACTTGTGCAATGAATGAATAACAGTAACTCCAGAGGGGTGTGGAGTCAGAAGCGTGTTTGTACTAAATTGGACAGGCCTGAGAAAGATTATTACAGAGAGGGGAACGTGATTGAACATGACTGTGAAGAAGAAGGGAGGGAATGGTCTAAAGCAGTGGTTCTCAACCTTGGCTGCACATTAGAATCGCCTGGGAATCTTTTTAAAATCCTGATTTCTGGGCCTCATCCTCAGGAAATTCTGTTTCTTTGTTACTAATGTTGTGGCCCCACCCCATAACAAAGAAACAGAATTTCCGGAGGATGACACCCAGAAATCAGGATTCCCAGGTGATACTAATGTGCAGCCAAGGTTGAGAACCACTGGTCTAAAGGAAAGAGGTGGAAAATCCACCCTGAGCAGGAGGAGGGATCTTTGTCTCTGGATACAGGAAGGAGAGAAAGGCTGACAGTGGAGGGGTGATCTAAACAACTGAACCCACATATGTAATGAGGTACAAGGTTAATTAGCTGAAGGACAAACATACATTCACCAAATTACAGATAACAAATACTTTAGTCTTGATATTCATTCCACTTAGTAGTTCTTTTTTGCTCCCCTATTAATTGTACTAGGGCATTGGGAGCTTCTTATGGCTCAAGGAAATGTCTCTGATCCCTCGTGATCAGATCCTCTTCTTCCTTTATGGCCCTCACTCTGGAATAGTTCCCGTTGGTCTCTTGTGTCCTTCGTTGTGGTTTGACTCCCACCCACTTCCTCACTTAGTTGCCAGCCTAAAGTGGGGAACCACCTCCCTCCCCAGAACACAGTCACCCTGCATTCTTAGTTTCCTGCAGTGTCTAGTATCAGGGGTGGGCAAACTTTTTGACTCGAGGGCCACAGTGGGTTCTTAAACTGGACCGGAGGGCCGGAACAAAAGCATGGATGGAGTGTTTGTGTGAACTAATATAAATTCAAAGTAAACATCATTACATAAAAGGGTATGGTCTTTTTTTTTTCAGTTTTATTCATTTCAAATGGGCCGAATCTGGCCCGCAGGCCGTAGTTTGCCCACGGCTGGTAGTTCCTTTGACCTCATCCGTCCTTTAACTACAGTGGTTCCCCCTTATCCGCGGTTTTGCTTTTCCCACTGTTAGTTATCTGAAGTCAAAAAATATGAAATGGAAAACTCCAGAAATAAGCAATTCATAAGTTTTAAATTGTGCCAATTCTGAGCATTTGTCGTGTATCCAACTATATACACTACCTGCCCATTAGTCACATGGTAGCCATCTCAGTTGTCAGATTGACTGGTGGTATTCCAGTGCTTGTTTTCAAGTAACCCTTATTTTATTTAATAAAGGCCCCAATGCACAAGAGTAGTGAAGTTGGAAAATTGGCTATCCAAAGAGAAGTCATAAAGTAGTGTATGTCTGTATAGGAAAAAAAACAAACATAGTATATACAGTCATCTTCTGCTTAATGATGGAATATGTTCTGAGAAATGTGTTAGACAATTTTGTCCTAGTGCAAACATCATAGAGTGCACTTCCATAATGGTACAGCCTACTACACACATAGGCTATATGGTACAAACTATTGGTCCCAGGCTATTAGCATGTACTGTGTGTTACTGCACAAAACAATACAAGATCAAATCAAGCATGTGAAAAATGATTCAATCAAGAGAACTCTATCGCATCAGGGATTAGGGCATCGACACATGAATTTCGGAGGGATGCAAACATTTAGTCCACAGCAGAAGCTATAATTTTACAGTTGTGTTGGGTGGAAGCTATGTGCCCTGGGAAGCCAGCCATCAGCTGGAAAACTTTAAGACCTTCTCTTACCCAGAAGAATTATCAGGCTTTTATACAAATAAAAATCTTCTTCATCTACCCTCCTGATTACCACAGATGTGTCTGAATTGTGAGCAGCTGCACAGCTTTAGAAACTCAACTCAAAACACTTCTTACAATCTTAGTCTCAAATGAAAGCGAAATAGGATTCTCCCCTACCACAGTTTTTCATTTAAGCAGCCAAATATTTTCTTGTAGTAAGGCTCCATAATATTAAAAGATATTCCAACATATTTCAAAATCCAAATTTTAAAAGGCCCTGAAACAATATGCAGAATGCTTTCTTTTTTAAAAATTTTAAACCAAGACATGTACTTAAGACAGGGATTATTTTTATTTTTCCTTTCCTTCAGTCTCCTCAAGGGGGAATTTAATAAAGGCTTGGATTCAAGCAGGGTAACAATGGAGAAAATCCTATGGGAAGATAAAGAATATGAGAAACAGGAGAGGGAAAGGAAAGTTGAGGGAAATTAGAATTCCAGTCCTTATCCAGTTATCCAGCTGGCCCCTTTAAATGTCTTTTGTAAATTAAAACAATGCTTTTTCTTCCCAGGAAAAGAGTGAATTCATGAATAATAATTCCAGCGAACAGGTCCTATATGTTGATCCAGTGATTACAGAGATAGAAATCTTTCTCCAAGAAGAACACAAGCCCATGGACTGCAAGAAAGGAAGGAATACAGGAGCCCTGGAGACAACAGAGTGCCTGCAAAAGTCACTGCTCGCCAGTACCACAGTTGTGTATATTCCTGATATCAACACGGGATATAAACCCCAGATTTCTAATTTTCTCACTGAGGAAGACCATTTCAGCAATGATGATGACACCGATTCCTCAACTCTCAAACCAACAGTTGATTCCTTAGACCTGGGAAAAAATGCCCTTTTTAAAAAATACCCTAATTGTGCTCTTTCTGTCTCAAGTATGAATTCATTAAACAATACACTATTTCTTGAAGAATTAAGCCTCATTTTAAATCAAGGAGAATGCAATCCTTCTGACACGCAAAACTCGACACAGGATGAAACCACCACGCTTTTGGAAAATGCTTCCCCCAGTGAAACTCTTCCAGAACAGACCCTGCTGCCCGATGAATTTGTCTCCTGTTTGGGGATCATGAATGAGGAGTTGCCATCTATTAATTCTTATTTCCCACAAGATATTTTGGAAAACTGCTTCAATAGGATGTCTCTCTTGGAAAAGTAGAACTGTGTAGTCAAAATTAATGTGAGAAAGCTGCCTTGCAATCTGAAGTTGAATGTCCCCCTCAACATAAATTTAATTCTGCCCTATTTTTTATAAATAAGAGAATTAAGATCCAAAGATGGAATATACTTTATGGTCACCAAAAAAGTAGCAATATTAGGGATACCTCCTGTATTTTTAAAAAAAGAATCAACGATATCCTTTTCATTTTCCCTCCATGCCAGGCACAGAACAGCTCTCTGTTGTAGGAAGGATAAATAATACAAAATATATGGCAGTGAAGTAAATGCTGAAAATAGTTATTTAAAACCAAGACATTAATATTAGCTTGCCAGGGAGAGGCAAGTGTAATTTTCACTTTATTGCTTAAAATTATCTTGAGTAGATAAAAACATAGCCCCAATAGCAAAATAAGCAAAGGACAGAAACAGAGGAGCAATTAATTAGCATGTTTGCTTTATTATTTTTTTCTACTATTTTCTATTCAGCCCTTAGGGATTTGATCTTTCCTTATTTTGTTTTTTGTTTGTTTGTTTTGTTATCACCTTTTTATAGTGGGATACAAACATTTTAGTAACTTGCCCAAAGTCTTACAGGATCTTTCCTTATTTTGATTATGAACTAAGGAATTTATTAAAACAATGATGTGTGGAAATCATGAGATGATTATTTTTATTCAAGTCAAGAGTGATAGCATTGTTCTCCTGTGGCATAGTTGGTGTATTAATTACACAACAGTAGAATTAATGAGGTAGCAGATGCAGGATCTTCAAGGTGTAATTTTTTTCGGATTCAATTATGTTTTAGATATATGTCAGAAAATTACTGTTAATACAGGTATATGTCTAAGTACTGGCCACACCTTCCATTGCTTCCTATGCCATGTCTCCTGCAGACATCACTAATTGATCACTACATGCCTTTTGCCGAGACCTAAGGTGGCCTTAGAGTCAATCATCTCAGCACAGTGATGATGTCTCACAATAATGGCTGAGACGAGATGACCTGCCAATCACGTCAATATCGAAAGGTCGGCGCCAAAACCAGTTTGGCTCAGTGGATAGAGCGTCGGCCTGTGGACTGAAAGGTCCCAGGTTCGATTCCGGTCAAGGGCATGTACCTTGGTTTCGGGCACAACCCCAGTGGGGGTGGGGGGGAGTGTGCAGGAGGCAGCTGATTGATGTTTCTAACTCTCTATTGCTCTCCTTTCCTCTCTGTAAAAACTCAATAAAATATATTTTTTTAAAAAAAGAGAAAGGTCGGTGATCTTAGAAATACGAAGTGCATAGTTTAAGTTGAGAATTGATACCCAGCAGACTTCTCTATTGTGATTAATTTTTATGGTCAAGGGGAACACTTTTTTAATTATCAGAACAATTTGAAAACAGGGTAGCTTATCCCCTGAATTCCTCTTTCTCTCCTACAGTTGTTAACAGTAACTTATATTCAGATTAAGTCGCTTAATTTTATTAGAACAAGTCAAGCAGCTAATTTTAAAAAAGGACCAGTTGCCTACCATGTGTGTAGCACAAGAGCTAGCTATTTTGTTTTGGGCTTTTTTTTTTTAAATAAAAAAGGAGACATTTAATTTTTTAAAAAGCTAAAAGTAGTTTTGTTGTCATTAAGTGTCCTCGTGAAGAGGAAGACCATACATCCTGCTTTCCCTGGTTTCTGTCCCAGAGTGAAATAAGATCGGCGCACCCTTTCACCCTCAGCAGCACCCCATTTGGATGATAAATCATATGGTCGCCCTATCTGTGAAAGCTGCTTAACGTCCAGCATGTAAGTAACTTATCGCATCATCTCTTTTTTTGCATTGACAGCCCTCTTTATTTTACTTTCTATCATTTATAAAGCCATTTTGTTTCAAAAATGAAATGTTACTACTCACAGTTTAAAAAACATATCCCCTGCTGTGAAATTCTATTTTCCTAAAATATGTGCATAATAGTTGTACTTTACAGATCCTGAAAGTATATTTTAAATCACGAATGAAATGCCAATATGAAATATCGTGATGTGTAAATGACCATATGTCTTTGCTTTATTCTTCTTCAGAGGGAAATTATAGGGAAGCAAAGAGGCAGGTAGCTTTTGAGATAGAAATAACAAAAGACTGAGATAAATCTTTCAATGTTTACCAACATGATGATGGCATCTGTTAGCATGTGAAGAATATTTTCTTAGTGTGTTTCAGTACAATTGTAATCTGCCGCACATTAAAAAAGCTTTTGTCAAGCTTAAAGAATTACAGCATTGTTTGACCTGCATATGCTTCTGTTACAGTGAACGTCTCCTTTAGAACTTCTTGTTCTCTGGGCTGCTTTCCCTTTCTAAGGTGTCGTCCCCACACCCACATCACTATTCAGCACCAAGGAGACACTTTGCCATTCGGCCTCATGGTCCCGATGGACTAAAAACTGAAGCAATACCTATAACAGAGGCAATGTGCCTGCCTTTGCCCTAACTCCAGGAAAATTTCATCACAATGCAACCTTGGTAAACGGGCAAGGGTTTTCTTACTATGATTCATATTAGAGGCCCGGTGCATGAAATTCATGCAAGAGTAGGCTTTCCTTCCCCTGGCTGCTGCCACAGGCTTCCCTCTGGCTCCCAGGACCTGGGCTTCCCTCACAGAGGGAGGCCCGCCCACCCGCCGCAGCCACCAGCCAGTGGCCTGGGCCTCCCTCTGTGGGGCAATCATGGGGCGATGTCCAGGCCCCCAACCAATTGCATCGCACCTGCCTTGGCTGGCCTGGCACCAGTGGGTGTCATAGTGTAGTCCCGGATGTCATCCAGAGGGTTGTTCCACTGTTCGGCCATTCACTCGATTTGCATATTATGCTTTTATTATATAGGATTATTCTCTGTAGTATTGAATGTCCCTACTCTGTGCTAGGCACTCTGAGTGATATGGAGGTGAACAAAACCAGCCAAGTCCATGCAGCATCGGGACTTACATTCTATGGGCAAGAAACACACAGTCCATGGGGCTAAGTCATTGCCCTTCAAGGAGTTTACATTTTAGTGGGGAAGGGGAAGACAGGGGATGAAGAGAAGCGGAAAAAAAGTAAAGAAGAAAAATGTCTGATAGTAAGTGTATGTAGAGAGGTAAAATGGGATAGTGTGGTGAAGATCAACTTGGTGGTCACTTTACACTGAGAGTCAGAGAAAGTCCCTCCCCAAGGGACACTGACATTGCCATCTGAATCACACGTAGGAGCCAGCGTGGGAGAATCAGCTTGCCACTGACAAGTTCCTTCTCTGGAAAAATTCTCCAAGGCTAATATCTCTACTTCTTTCCCTCCTGTTCATGTGGCCCCTAACACCCCCTGCCCCTGCCACCTCTCCCTTCCTCAGGCAGAATTTTCTGTAGATTTGGGGGATAAGTGTGTATCTTTTCATCTTTCCATCTAGCCCTTGGGCTTATTACTAACTTTCTAAGTCTCACAATCTTTGTAAGTTGCTGCTTCCTAATGGATGTGTCATGGTGTAGGTTAAAGAGAAGGAGGAAGGAGAAAGAGGGAGGAAAAAGCCCCTAATGATACCATTGAGAGGGAAGAGGAGAAGATAAATACAAAGAAAGGCAGGTTAATTCTCCGTAATGCTGAAGCAAAACAGGACATCATAATTCTGGACAATCCTAAAACTAAGAGACATGCAATTTCCTCCTGGTCTAGTATCTTCCCTGCTCCTTGCCTCTCCTTCCTTCCTTCTTTTTTCTCCTTCTTTTTAATTTTTATTTTTTTATTTTTTATTTTTTTTACATAGAAGCAATGGAAGAGGTACAGTTCTGAGGTGTTTTCTTGAGTGTGTGTGTGTGTGTGTGTGTGTGTGTGTGTGTGTTCTATCCTTTTTTAAATTAGGAATTTGTTTTTACAAATTAGAAGGACTATTTGATGATATAAGAAGGCTTATGAGTATTAGCATGTGGCTCTCAGGCAACATGGGTTGCTCTCTGGCCCTGCTGGCTCAATCAGAGGGTGTTCTCAACTTCTTATATTTTCAGTCTTTGACAAAAAGGAGTCACATGACTATGGCATAGGGCAGAGTTTTCATAAATAAATTTTAGCAACTGACATTAAATCTGTTTGCAGAAGTCCAAACTGTAAAACACGTGAAAGCAAATCTCCCGTTAAAACAGAGACTGAAGGTCATGTTTGAAGCAGCTTGCACATGCATGTGAACACCCAAGGATTTCTCTCTTCAGCACCAGGGTGGTCAGGACTCCAGCCCAGCCTTGAGAAGCCCCTTCCTCAGGATGGTACCAAACTTTCCATCTCAGCCACAGGCTGCCAACCCAAGCTCATGGGACCACAACTTCCTATACCCTGAACGACTTTGTAAAAAGGAGCTTTCTTTTAGAGGTTGCTAATAGAAGCAGTACTACATGCAATAATTAACTTGTTTCTTTCCAATTACTTTATCATAAATGTCTGGGTTTTGTTCAAGTTTATGTTCTTTTTTTGATCATTAAGAATAAAATATTGTGCTGTGAACATAATTAGATTATAACCCTAAAGACTGTTGAATTGTTCTGTGGTTTATCTCTTTATGAAGTAATTATACCAATTATAGGAGGTGATGTTTTAATGGGCAATGTTATCCACTTGGCAGACACTATTGATTTAAAATAAAAGAAAGTGATTAAAAACAATTTATGGAGCTCTCTGGGGTAAAAGCATGAAACCAATATAAAATAATTGGATTGTGATTCATGGAGTGGATTGTGTACTACTTTCTTGGATGTCACAGTTAAGGCAATTTTATAAGGAACTCTAACAAAGGTTTGATAGAATATTCTTACGTCTCTTTGCCACTGCTAAGATTACACCATTATCCCAATTAATGTTTCATGTTAAGGACTCTCTTAGCCGTTTTGCTAATTTCACTTTTCAACCTACTCTGCATCTTTTTATCCAGAATTTCCATCAACTGTCTGAAGATGCATTTCCTTTATGCTTATGTTCAGGAAAACAACTTATTATTTAATTTTAATAATTAGCATTTAGCAATAAATTAAGAATTTATTCTTACATGGTTCATTTTTGCTTGGGATAGAAAAAGAAGTCTGCCCTTGCTT